AACGCTGATAACATTCTAATAACCGTCACTTTTGCGAACGATATGCATTCATAGGCGCAGGCGAAAATCAAGCCGCCATCTCGCGAGGGCCGGCGGTAAATTTTCGGGGCCCAACGCCGGCGAAAATTACACCGGTGCCCAAAAGTGCGCGCTGGCAAAACTACACCACTAACGTATTCATAAAAGGAAATAGAATGAGCTGTGAGGGGGTCCTAAGCGTGAGCGCGATTCCTAGGAGCCTGAATGTCGAGGGCGCGGCGCTGGAGTAAATTGTGGGGAATTCCAACGCAAGAGAGCGATTCTGTTGTAAAACGCAAGCAAGTTTCCAACGAGAGTGCGACTAGAGCGACGAGAGAGCGATTCATGCATTACCCCAATGCGACCCTACCTAGAAGTTGGAGCCCCTAGGAAAGCAGCATTAGTTGCTATGCTATGCTATGTTATGCCATGCTATGCTGCGTTATGCTATGCTATGCTATGCTATGCTGCGCTATGGTATGCTATGCTATGCTATGACATGCTAAGCTATGCAATGTCATGCTGCGCTGTGCTATGCGAAACTATGCTATGCTATGCTATGCTAAGCTGCGCTATTCTATGCTATGCTATGCTATGCTATGCTATGCAGCTAAGGAACTGCTTGCGGGGGCTCCGGTCCGGCCATCGAGGCTAGCTCGGCATCTGTCGCACATTGCTTTTGCTTTACCTTTCCTTTGCTTTGCTTTTGCTTTTGCTTTGCTTTGCTTTGCGTTGCTTGTGCTTTGCTTTGCTGTCGCTGCTGTTGCTTTGCCTTTACTTTGCTGCTATGCTATGCTATGCTATGCTATGCTCTACTATGCTATGCTATGCTGCGCTGTGCTATGCTGTGCTGTGCTGTGCTGCGCTGTGCTATGCTGTGCTGTGCTGTGCTGCGCTATGCTATGATGTGCTATGCTATGCTGCGCTATGCTATGCTATGCTGGGCTATGCTATGATATGCTACGCTATACTGTGCTCTGCTATGCTAAAGCTCAGCGAAGCTAAGATGAAGGTAAGCTAAGCTAAGATACACCTGAGCTAAGAAGAAGCTAAGCTAAGCTAAGATGAAATACGTTAAGCTAATATGAGATAAGCAACGCTAAGCTAAGGGGACGTAACTTGATGAGCCGCGGGGCGGATACTGGGGGAACCGCCCGGGGCGCTTTCCACTGCCCGACCCCTGTAAGCCCAGAGAGTAAGAACCCTTCTAGGCAGAGCCTAGGTAGGGAATACATTGCAAGGGAGTCCCTGGCGAAAGCGCAATTCCTGAGTAAAATGCGAGGACATCTTGGGCGGGAGCGGGGGTCCTGGCTAAATTGTGAGAAAATATAAGGCGGGAGCCGCTGTTGCTGTTGTTGTTGTAATCCAGGTGCCAACAACACAAGTTGAGCCCCGTGACTTTCGTTGATGGAAAACCAGGGTGCGAGTCCCGGGGGATGCACTTCAATGGAAAAATACAAAATGGTCACTGGAGGGGGGTTCAACATTAATTTTTCTTCATTAGTGAGAGTTCAACAACAACGGCTCACGCCGGATATTTCCTCACAAAATATTCCCAAATCGCGCTCTCGCGCGGGAAGCCCTCACAATTTAAGCCGGAATCGGGCTCTTGCGTGGGACTTCCTGGCGCATTATTCAGACGCCGCGCCCTAGACACTCAGGAATCACGCTCTCGGTTCAGCTTTTCTACCGATTTACTTGGGAATCGCGCTATCGCTGGAGACTTCCTCGCGATTCATGCGGGACGCACGCTTCAGCAACCCGCCTGCTCGACCTGGCCGCCTGGGCCCGCCTTCCCGACCCGCCCGTCAGGGTCTAGTACCCGCCGTCTGGTTGTGCCACGTGTTTTCTGCTCCTGGCCCCCTCCTGCTACGCTCTCTCGTGCTCCATCCTCCGCCCTCCCCCTTGTCCTTTCCATCCATCCATCCTCTCTTCCCCTGCCTCAGGGAGTCAGTTTTGAAAAGTTACAGCCGTTTGGCCGTGTGGGGGGGCCAGCCGGGGAAGGGGGGGAGGGCGGCCACGCCGCCGAGGCCACCAAGGCGGCCCAAGGAACTCTCACATGCCGAAGATGGCCCCAAGACTGACAAAGAGGCCATCAAGAGGCCCCCAGAGAGCTCCAAGAGGACACCCAAGAGGGCCCCAAGAGGCAAAAATCTATGATTACCTTTGGGTGGCTTTATGTGTTTGAAGGTTTCGCCTTTTTCGAGCTTCCGACGCACCCAAACTGCCCATGAGGCCCCAAACATCTCTCCAAGACAACCCCAGAGGCGTCCAATAAGGCTCCAAGACGGCCCAAGCGGACCCGGAAACGGCTCAAGAGGCGCCCAACACGCCCATGAGGGCCCCAGGACGGCCCCAAGAGGGGAACATAAACCGATGATTCGAGCCTTTCGCCCCAAGAGGCCCCCAAGAAGCTCCAAGAGGCCCCAGGGGGTTCCCGAAAGGCCCACAAGAGGCCACAGAAGGCCCCCAAGAGGCCCAACAGAGGCCCCCAACCCGCCCCCCACAGGCTTCACAACTGCCTCCAAGAATCCCCCAAGAAGCTTCCACGATATCCCAACGAACCTCCAAAGAGCCTCGGACCCACAACGTAGGCACGGTGGCGGGGTGAGCCGAAGGCCACCAAATCCGCCGCCCCCCGTTGATTTATAACAGGTGTGCCTGGCGTGCCAGATCCTATACGGTTTCTGGTTTGGTTCTTTTTCCACAAGAACTCTCCCTTGAGCTTCGGCTCAGCGCGCCAGCCACCTGGAAACTGTACATGGCAATGCCTTTCTCGCGCAAGGTGACCCAAAATGGATACCAAAGATGCCTCTCCGACGGCCGAGATGGCCCAAGATGGCCTCCAATATGCCTCCAAGACGGCCCCAAGAGACCCCAACATGGCCCCAAGAAGCACCCAAGACGGCCCAAGATGGCCTCAAGATGGCCAACGACGGCCCAAGAGGTCCGCAAGAGGCCCCCAAGAGGCCTCCAAGACGGCCCAAGAGGCTCCCAAGAAGGCCTCAGGAAGGCCCGACGAGGCAAACATCATCAAGTTCTCCTAAGTGTACGAAGGATGTTAGCGTTTGTTTATTGTGGGCCTTCCGACTGTCCGAGATGGCCCAAGAGCCCCCAAAGATCGCCCCAAGATCGCCCAAGAGGCCTCCAAGCTGGCCCAAGATGGCCTCCAAGACGGCCCTGGAGCACCCCAAGAGGGCCCCACAACGGCTCAGAGAAGCCCCCAAGACGGCGTCCGACGGCGTCAGACGGGCCAGGAACGCCCTTAGACGGGCAAAGAGGCCCCCGAGAAGCCCCCAAAGGCCCCCAAGAGGCCCAAGGAGGCCCCTAGAGGCTTCCAGGAAGCTCCCAGAATGCCCCATGAGTGCCCCCAGAGGCTCCAAAGATGCCCCATCCTCCTCCTCTTCCTCCTCCTCCTCCTCCTGACCTTCCCCGCCATCCTCCCCCAAGTGATCTCCGACGGGTTTCCACAACGGCTGGGGGAACACATGGTCCGATAGCTTAGCAGCGCTCTCGCCACAACGCTCGGCCACATGGGCGATTCCAAAAGGCACGGGGCGGCGGTGAGTCGCCGTAGGCGTCTTCGATAAGAGAAGATAGCAACGACGGGAAGGAGCAGTGCGCATGGCATGACAAATTGACGCTACGACCCGCCCAACGACACACCAACGAGCCAATCCGTCCAGGAACCAGCCCGCCAACAGTCTCGACCGACGGACACGACGCCAACATTCCATTCAACATAAACTGCCTAAGGCGACTGCCAAAACCCTTCTCCGCCTCCTCCTCCTCCTTTGCCCCCACCCTCCCCCTCCCCCTCCTCCTCCTCCCCCTCCTCCTCCTCCTCCTCCTCCTCCTCCTCCTCCTCCTCCTCCTATTGCTCCTCCTCCTGCTCCTCCTCCTCCCTCCTCCTCCTCCTCCTCCTCCTCCTCCTCCTCCTCCTCCTCCTCCTCCTCCTCCTCCTCCTCCTCCTCCTCCCTCCTGCCTCCCCGAGGTGAGACTCTCAAATTTATTTACAGGACGAGATCGCACGGAGCGTCCCGGATCGGCGGCACAGGCCCGAGGCCTGTACGATGTAAGCGCGTCCCTCTCTCAGGATCCGCCGTCGCCTGCCACCCCAGTTTTCCGCACGGCGCGCACAGAGAGCGGGCGGATAACATCAGACGACTCACTGCCACAGCTCGGGCACAGCGTCCTTCGGCGCTCCTGGCCCCCCCGGGCACAGACTGGGACCCCTCCTCCTCTTTTTTTCTTGTAAGACAGACCGCGTAGACATATTTTCTCGAAAGTCCGCGCAGATACTCTTGGATCGGCGCTGGACCCTCCTCCCTGGAGCACAGAGCGCGCCAAGGGCGTCGCGGGAGGCGACTCCAGGCCAGGGGGGGGGGGGCAGAGCAGCTCCAAGAGATCTGCGCGGAACTCCGAGAAGTTATGTTTAACCTTGCTATTTGTGGGTTCGCCTCAACAAGGGGCATGTCGACCCCGATCTCCGATTTCCTGGGGCTTCTCGAAGGGACCAACAACTGTAGGCCCGACTCGGGGATGCACGAGAAGAAGGCGCCCATCCTCGACATGGGGTGCGTCCGAACAGCCCCCGGGGGTGCATCCCCGAGTTTCCCTCCTTCTCCGAGCGGCTTGATGTTGGTTGACCCAAAAGGGGATCCAGCTGAAAGGGGGTGGTGCCATAGATTTGGGGCAATTGTATTGCAAATGTATTGCGCCGGAGGGTTCTATTGCATTGTGTTGCAGCAAATGCATTGCACGCGAAAATTAAACAATACATCTGTGCACTGGAGCGCATTGCACGCCCCAAGCTAATTTCACCCCCGCAAATCTATTGCACCACCCCCTTTTCGCTGGACCCCCTTTTGGGTCAACCAGATTGATGCTTCGTCGAAGAGTTCGGGAATGGGGCCCAGAAGCCACCTGCGAGACCTGCTCCTCCTCCTTCTGCTCTTCCTACGCCTCCTCTCCCCTCCCTGTCATCGCCACAGCTCGGGCACGTCCTGCCTGAGCGTCACGGGGGGCACGGACTCGTCGCCCGGCTCTCCCGCGACCCTGCTGGAGGTCCACGTTCCGACGCAGATGCTGACCTGACGCCATGCGTCGAAGAATCAACAATGACATAAACATAACTTTCGGAGGTCCGCGCGGATTTCTTGGATCAGCTCTGGATCCCCCTCCCTGCAGCGCGGAGCGCGCCAGGGGCGTCGCGGGAGGCGCCGCCAGGGCCAGGGCCGCTCCAAGAAACCTGCGCGGAGCTCCGAGAAGTTCTGGTCATGCCATCGTGTGTTCCCCGAATGCGAAATACACAATGGACAGCCAGCCAGCGGGGCCAAGCGCCAGACCCAGCAGGAACGCCACGACGACGCCCAATGATATCAGGCTCTCCCTGATGGTGCATGGCGGCCTCAGCCCGGCAGCCAGCGTGGCACCGTAGGCCTTGGCCTTGAACCACAGCTTGCTCCTGGGCAGCCAGATGGACTGCCGGTGAAAGCCGGTGGTCTCCAAGTTGAACTCCACCATGCGGCCCTGCTCCGCGTCCGTCATCCTCCAGGACCCTCCCGACATGCCCGGAGTCACCAGCTGGGCCCCGGGCCGGGGCATCCCATCGTCTCCCGGGGCAGAGAGCACCTGCAGCGGGCCCCAGGCGCTGCCCGGCGGCTCCACCCACTCGCCCAGAAAGTCCCCCGACCGCAGCACCCGCAGCTCGCCCCCAGGGCAGAACTCGACGACCACCGGGATCTCAAGCCGGTTGCCGTCGGTCGCCCAGCGCATGGGTCAGGTTGGACAAAGGGGGAGGAGAGATCGCGAGCGGGGCCCCCTTGGGCCCCTTGCAAATCGACTCCGCTCGAAAAGTGCCTCAGGGACACAGGGCAGAAATACAGGGCGCACGTCAAAGTGTTTAACGATGTTGCACTTCTCGCGACGTCGGAGCCAGGAGGCGAGCAAAATAGGGTCCCAGGAGATGGTGTCGAAGGATCGCGCCGCATCGCCGATGCATCGGCGCTGCCCGCGTGGCGCCGATGAATCGGTTGACCTCTTCCAAGTTGCATTCTGACAAAGATTTGGGGATGTACTGACCCAGGTCCAAGCAAACCTGGGTCAATTGGGCCTTGCAAAATCTTGCAAGGTCCTGCGGGATCCTGTGAGATCCTGCACCCAAGCCCGGGTCAGTCCACCCCTGGCTCTTCAGGATCCTGCAAGAGCCGGCGATCTGACTGACACCCGCTTGCACTGACCCCCGTCCCTGGAGCCCCGAAGGATTCCGAGGCGAATGCAGCCGTGACGACGAGGGCAGAGTAGCGGCATTCGTGCCTGCTCCTCCTCTGGCATCAGGGAGGCCCGGAGGCTCTCAGCCCCTCCCCCCCGCTCGGTCCGTCCCGACATCCGGGTGTTGCCAGAGGCCTACCCGTCGTTAGGCTCGGGTTCGGGGGACTCGGGCTGGCCTGACGGGGCCATCATGAAAACGACGCGACCCAGTCTGAAATTTGACGCGACCTACCGCTGCAGACATCCCACGAAACTGGACCGTCAAAACCTAGGGCGTGCTCGTCAAAAAGCGTAGGCTACGATTCCTCCATCCGTGGCCCAAGATGCCCCCAGGCTTCCAGAGCACCCATCGAGGCCCAGAGGGCTCCAGCAGATCAAATAATAACTAGATGGCAAATTTCGGAAACCCTGACCCCAAAAACGTTTTCATCTCTTGGGAGGAGTTTTTTACTTCCGCCACCTTCCGCCGGCTTCCGCCCGCGGAAGCGGCCTCGTTTTACTTCTGCCGACCTTCCACCGCCTTTCCGCCGCCTTCCGCGGCGGAAGAGATGACAACTCCGTCGATCCTCGGAGGCAAGGCCATCTTTGGAACGCCTCACATGGACATAAACTGTCATGACCCGAAAAAGCAAGCTCTCTCATTAGAAGAAAATATAGATATCAATTGTTGGCGCTCCGCGCGGATTTCTTGCATCTGCGCTGGTACCCCATCCCTGGCGCGCGGAGCGTGCAGGGGCTGCGCTGGAGGCGCCGCCAGGGGGGACCCAGCGCCGATCCAAGGACGTCGCGCGGAGCTCCGAAAGCTCATGCTCATGCAGCTGTGTTCCTCCTCGGTCCAGGGGGCCCGAGGCGGAGCGAAAGACCAGGGGCGCCCTGGGGCCATGACCCGCCTCTGACTACCTACCAAACCAACCCAACCCAACCCGAAGACTCGAATTTCGGGTTGGGGGGAGGGGTCGGGCTTCATACGGCTTCGTGTGTTTTGTTCGATGTTCCCCGACGCCCCCCCGCTGGAAATGGAGTGCAAATCGGAGACTCTGGGTTGGGTTGGGGTGGCTTGGTGGGCGGTGAGCCTCTGGCGACACCCGAGACATGGGCATGAAGCTGTTCCTGGTGCGCCCCACGCTCAGCAGCAGCAGGTGCCTCGAGCCTTCCAGCGCCGGCGGGGGCAGGCCCTCCACACCTCGGCTACACGCAGGAGTGACCCAAGGCAAAAGTTTGACTGGGGGATCGACTACAGATTTGATTTGACCCAAACTTGATTTTCACGTCGACTCTTCAACAAAAATACGTCAACCATTCGTAGATCTGCGAAAGTTCTACGAATTGCCCGTGGATTCGACAAGCAAAATCCATTCTGGGGCAAATCAATTCTGTAGTCGATCCCCCACTCGAAGAGTGGCCTTCGGTGCGCGACTTTCGCGGGCCGCGAGAAGCCAAACCTCGGGCGCGGCCTAAGCGACCCCTAGCAAACCAGCCCCTTCCGTTACGTCATCCTGGCCCTTCAAGCTTCCCTCCGGCCACATACATAGGTCATGGGGCGAGACAAGGGAGGCCTCACGGAAGGGGATGGTTTGCCAGGGGTCGGTTAGGCCGCCCCTGCAAACCCGCACCAGAAGGTCAGCGACCGGGGGTCCCTTTTGGGGCCCGCACCAGAAGGTCACTCCAGAGAAGGGTCCCTCTTGCGTCCAGTCGAGCACCCGCGGCGCGGCGGCATCGGCCCCCGGGCGCGGCGGAGCGCGCGCCGCGAGGGGCCGGGGCGACGCCGAGGCCGCCACGAAGGGAGCGGAACGGAACGGAACGGAACGGAAGTCTGCGTGCCAGCTCCGGTAACCGGAGCGGTCCCCTAGAGGGCAGACCGTGCGCTGAGCATGTCGGAAAATTAATGTCGGCAACGAGCACACGCCACGAAGGGAGCGGGGGATCCCGAGGGGAGCGGGCCCTGGACCCCGAGGCGCGGCGGCGACCGCAGGGCTTGTCGGCGCGAGAGGGGTGGGCTTCTGAGAAGAAGGCAAAAAGGGCTCCACTCGGCGGCGAGCCCCTCCGCGCCCCACGATGACGCCCCGCCACCCCCTCTCTCTCGATCCCGCTCCTCCTCCTCCCGCCCCGCCGTTCTCCGGCGGCGCGTCCAGGGGGCAAGCGAGAGGGGGCGGGCCTCCTCGGAAGGCTCGGCAGTCCCCCCCCAGCCTTCTGAGAAGTCGTCGAGGCCTTCCCCGAAGACTCGGCGCCGAGGACTTCCCAGAAGGCGCGAGGGCTTCTGAGAAGCCACGCCGCCTTCTGAGAGGGCCTTCTCCTTCTCCCTCCCCCCCCTCGCTCGCCGCCGATTCTCAGACGGCGAGGGCCCTCTTCGGGGGGGGGCCCTGCCGTCTCGGAGGACGCCGGCCCCACCCCCATCGCGCAGACTTCGGTGGCAGCTCAAGGGAGCCTGCCATACCATCTTGCTGGCTCTTGCGAATCGACGCTGCTCGACGCTGAATCGACGCCTGACTGGGAATCGACGCTGCTCGATGCTGAATCGATACGATTCGACGGGAATCGACGCCAGACTGGGGCTATCTCATCGATTACCAGAGGCTACCCGGCGCGAAACACTGAATCAAAAGGACACGCAAGGCTCCATAGACATGAAAGGCTGAATCAAAAGGCGAAGGCTACCGACCGCCACCCCCTCTGTGGTGGGACGCACAGAGACATACTAATACTGAATGTCCTCCTTGGAGGCGCCCGTCCGACCCGAATATATAGTATACCCGTCTTGTAGTATATCGTTTCCCGAACGGTGTGGCCAGAAAGCGACCGCCACGACGCATGTACTATAAGATTTCTCTGTGCGCACGCCGACCAAGTGGCGGTTCGGGGCTAGAGGTTCGAGGCGTGCGAGGTTTTCGGGCGGCTTCGCGGGTTCCCCTGGGGGCTCTGCGCCAGCCCTGGGGACGCTTCTCCCCTGGCAGCTGCGTCTCGCCGAGAACGTCCCAGGGGTGCCTAGATTGTCGCGAATGGCCGCCAGAGAAGCGAGTCATGACCCGAAAAAGCAAGCTCCCTCACTAGAAGAAACGGGAACCACAAATGTAAACTTGTGGCGCTCCGCGCGGATTTCTTGGATCTGCGCTGGGCCCCTTTTTCCCTGGCGCGCGGAGCGCGCCAGGGGCGGCTGTGGAGGCGCCGCCCCTGGAGGCGCGGAGGCGCGGATCGGAGGCACGGATCCAAGAAATCCGCGCGGAGCGCCAAACGTTTATGTTTATGGCGTTTTGTTATTCTTCTTCTTCGTCGAGAAAACAAAGCTCCAGGGGCCCAGGGGGCCCTCCCTGGGCAGGATCGTCCGAAGACGGCTCAAGATGAAGAGCTGGCCCTCGGGAAACCCCCAGGGTCCAGGGCCTTCTCCTTCATTGCGGCGACACTGCCGCCAATGAAAGGATTCCTGATGGAAACGGCTCGTGGATGCCAAGCCGTCCTTCAGGCCCAATTTTTCTCCTGAGCCGTTGTTTGGCGGTCTCGGGGCCTAGGAATTTCGTTGTAGTCGACTATGCACTCGGTCGATGACACGAGTCCCTTGTTGAACCGATGTTTCTGGAGAGTCGTGCCCTCCATGTGGATACCGATACAGTGCTTGAGATGGTCCCCTGCTGATGGGCTGAGAGATGCTGTCTCTCAACGAGACGTTCGCCTCCTTGGGGTTTGTGCTGGTGGGGCCAAGGGGTGCCATCAGGACTAGCAGCCAGCGGCCTCGCGCTTAAGGCGCGAACAGGTGGCTGACGGGCACCTCCCAGGAGGGGAAGAAGGAGGAAGAGGGGAGACGAGTGCCACCGAGGAAAAACACAAAACAAAAACGGGAGCGGACCCAGGACCGACCGCGCCTCAAGCCTCATCCTCATCCTCCGAACCAGGAAGGACCTCCAGGCCCTTCAATTTGTGGTCGAGGGCGAATGAGCCAAAGGGGGTGGGGCGGGGTCCCACTCCCGAGACCCGAAGCTCGATCCCACTGCGGGGGTGGCAGCCGCGCCACAGCTTACGCAGGCGGTCCCACGCAACAGACCCACGCGGGCAGCTTCCGTGGCAATCTTGACCGAGCTTCTGGGTGTTGTGCTCACTGTAGGCGCCACAAACACTACAGAACACAAAAGGGCCCACCGTCCAAACGCGGTGGCCCGCACCAGGCTTGCAGGGGGTGGCTTTCAAAATCTGGACCGTGCCTCCCGATCGCAGGCACCTGATGCACCTAAAGCCACCCTTGGGAAACCAGACAGGGTCGTGGGAGCCCTCGGGAGGCGCAGCATCGTCCGAGAGCCGAGGGACGATTCGGCGCCCCCTCCTGAGCCCCACCTCTCGGCGGGACGCGGACGCCAGGCCTGGCCCCGCACCTCGGATGGTCCTGGCCAGGTACTTCCCGACATACTGGACCAACCGATGAGAGCGGATCACCCGATCCTCGGCAACCTGATCAGAGGGGTGGAGGGCGGCGCCAGCGCGCGCCGTCTCGTCGGCAGCCTTGTTGCCGAGCCGCCGCC